TTTCTATTAATACTTAATTAATTGCTTTATAATAAATTTAATTATTTAAAAAGAGAAATTTCGTTAAATGAAAAATGAATTTAAAGTGGATGAAAATTTATGAATGTTGTTGGGAATGTTACTTGATATCCTTTTACAGATTGATCACCAGCAATTAATGGAAGAATTTTATCTTCATAATAAATATATGGAACATTGTTTTTAATTAAGAATAACTCTGCTTTTTCTTTGAGTATTGAAACGATTAAATTATTTCCATTACGAGAAACGTAAAATTTTTTATCTATTGTTTCATTATGTTCCATACAACAAATAATTTCTTTTCCATATCCACCTTGACGAATACAAATATTTGACTGTGCACTAATTGGTGATAAAAATAATGAGGTAACTAACCTACTTCCAACCATTGAAGAAACAAAAAAATAAAATATACATCCTCCAACTTTGATTGTAGGAATAGTAATATTCCAATTGACATGAAGAACTTGATCTGCCATTAATACCCCTTCTCTAAATACACAAACATATTCTTCATCAGGTCTTTTGATTTTAAGTATTTTATTTTCAAACGAATATTCAAAAACATCACCTACTTCTTGTGGACATGGAATTAAAGGTCCGTGTTTACATCTGTAATAATACTCCCCATCTCCTTTTAATTTAAACCCATTGTCAGGTTCAACTACACGTTCTAATTCAAATATTGATGGCATACAATTTTTGTCTTTTGTAATACGAATAACCCCTTCTTCTATTCGTGCAACAGCATAAGACTTATCTGGTTGTTCGATACTAATGATAAAATAACTCATTTTACCTCAAATAAATTTTAATTCTTTTTTTAAGTTTTTGTTTTTTTATCATATTTCCTTATTAAAAGAGAAACATGTTTTTACCTTCAAGAAATGATGAATAATATAATCATTAATAAGTTTGTGTTACTGATAATTATTATATATTTTCTCTATTATTATATAACTTTTAGTATTAAAACAATGGCATTATCTTTTTGATAAGACATGAAATTAAGAAAAATACAATAAACAAATGATTAACAAAAATTAAGATAAAAAAGGCAAGAATATTATATATTTATTAAGAATAAACTTGTATTTAATAAAGATTATTATAAATTAATAAAGGTAAATGAAAAATAATAACCTTGAAACAAATTTATAAACGAAATTTTAAAGAAAAACACATAAAATAATCAGTAATAATCATACAGTTATAATTTATAATCAAAAGTATCTTCTTCACTTCCTTCACTTAACTGGTTTTCATCAGGACAATTTGGCGATGAAAAATCTGCATGAAAGTGTTCAAAATCAACAGAATCAAAAGGTATTGGAACACCACTTGGAGGCGGACATGCTCCTTGTAAAAAAGACTTTTGTTGATTAGGAACAAATTGATCAATTTTTAATGAAAAAGAAGAAGGAGTTAATACAGAAGAACTAGCACTCATATTTTCTATGTGTAAAAGTTGTTGTGGGATCGGTTGTGCAACAGGAATTTCATTCATCATATTAATCTTCTGATTTATGAGATTATTCTCAATATCTAAAAATAATGTTTTTATTATTTTTAATGTTATATATCACAACATTTTAATAAAAAGGCAAATGAACATTTTTTCAACCCTTGAAAAAAATTGGAGATTTTTCAAAGTTGATAGAAAAAAGCTTTTGACAGAAGAAAAAAATTGATAAGGAAATGACGTGGAATATTAGAGGGCAAACACAACCCTTTAGTTTATTTTATTATATTTAAATTAAATTAAGTTTGAACTTTTTAACTATTATTCACTATGGAACAATTGATTCAAGTAATTGGAGCCACTCAAAACCCATCACTCAGACAACAAGCTGAAGCACAATTAACATCATTTCAAAATACCGATTTCTCACAATACATCGTGTCATTAATTCAAATATTATCTACAGCAACTCTCCCAACTAATATCAGACAATCAGCTGGTATTCTGTTCAAAAATTTATTCCCAATAAAAGGTTCTCATAAAGCACAATCTTTAAAAATATGGAATGAAATTAATAATGATACAAAAATGATAATAAGAAAGACTGTGTGTTCTTTACTCTCAGAACAAGATAATAATATTATTCTTATTGGAGGAAATATTATTTCTAATTTAGCAAATCTTGATTTACCTCAAGGACAATGGCCTGAGTTAATGCCATTTTTATTAACAGATGGTAGTGTTGCTAAATTAAAGACAATTGGTTTTATTACTGAAGATATTCCATTCATTCCATTTGCCCCTTTTATTGAACAAGTTGAAAACCTTTGTATTTCATCATTAACTAAAAGTTTTGACCATTGTATATCTGCATTAACTATTTTTGAAAATATGATTTCTTTTGAAAAAATTATGTCTAACCCAACAGAACGTAAAAAAATTCTTGAAGTTCTTCTTACTGCAGTAAAACATAATCACCCTGCAATTAAGACAAAAGGATTCCAAGCAATTTCTACTTTTACTGAATTATACATTGAATATTTCTCAGAAATAGGTAAGACTATTATGGAAGTTACTTCTGAAATTTTGAAACAACCAATGAGTATTGAAATAGAAGACTTACAAAAAACTGTTCTTCATCTTTGGAGAACTGTTGCTTCTAATGAACGTAGATATAATGATCATTATCCAAATAATCCTCCATTAAAGATAGTTGTTAGTGTTATTGATGAATTAAAGAATCTTATCATTCATATAATTTCTTTTGTTGATGACCCAAATGATGATATTGATGAGAATGATTTATCATTTATTGCCCAAGACACACTCTATGATTTAAGTGTAAGTGTTGGATCTGGACTACTTGTTTCATTATCTCCTCAAATTCTTTCATTATACACTAACCCAGATTGGAAAATTAGGTTCCAAGCTCTTAGTACTTTTGCTTGTTTAGTTGTTCCAAATGATGACCCAATCACTCTTTTACGTCAACATGTTAATCAAATTGTTAATTTATTTAATGACCCTGTTCCATTAAATAGAGCCACTGTGATTTATTGTATTATTAAATGTATTAAACACTATCCAAAGATGTTTGATGACTTCCTTAAAATTCATGCTTCAAATGTATTCTCTATGTTTAAAGATTGTCCTATTGTAAAGAAAGCTGTTAGTTCATTCTTCTCAACGATTTGTGACCCTCAAACTGGTGTTAATTGTAAATTGTTTTTAAATGGAGAAGCTGTTACTTCTATTATTAGAACATTCCTTGACGAGTCTATGAGAAATACATCCATTTCTGAATGTACATCTTATTTAACTGCTTCAGGAAATGTTGTAAGAGGTTGCTGTTCTGGTGAAATGGCAATTACAATTATTCGATTTATTT